TCAAACAAGTGTTCAATTTATAAATCGTTTTCTAATGTTATTTAGAAATACAGTACATTTAAAGGACTCTATATTGTTTTTTAGAGGACTTTAGGGACTATATAATTATTTAAACATTATTATTATGGTAAACTTTGTATTAAATTACTTATAAAGTATGTATTGACTACAGTATTTACTGACATGATAACATAGGTAAGATCAATTTGTTTCAAGGAATTATAGTTTGGTTTATAAGAACTGAGATTACTAATTAGAAAAATTATTTTAATTAATTATCAATTAATTTAAACAATTTAATTTGAAATTCTATTACATTATTATTTTTAAATTTGGTTTTTTGTTAAATATAATTTAAATAAATAAAAGAATTATTTTCAATGCTAAGTAATTCTAGAATTAATTAAAGCTAAATAGAAAAAATTAAAAATTAGAAGTTGTTTAATAAATATTTAATATTTATTTCAATGATAGTTCAAATTATAAAATATTACTTAATTTAATAATAATTAAAGTGTTACAAATAAGTTATAAGAAGTTCATGTATACCGTAAAAGTTGAATACGAGTCCGATACCAATTTAATTGATTTGGTATTTTACAATAAATAAATTATATGTATTTATTATTTCATAATGTTTTATATATTTGTATAGTTAATGGCAATCATACTCTTCAATCCCAATCGACCCAATTTGAGGCAAAGAGATATTGTTAAGTGAGTTGTAGTCTACAACTCGTAGACCATATTAATTAATAAATTTATTTATTTATTTTAATCATTGATTTAAATTCATTTTTGTTTATTCATTGATAGACTCCAACAGAAGACTTACATGTATTTACTTCAACGCTATTTAGAGATTAAACACAACTCTAAGAGTGGATCCGAGACTCGATTCTTGCGATTAATGAATTGTTTAAATAAGTTGCATGCTACAAACATGATTTGTGTTCAAAACTATGCAGATTCTACATATAATAACTTATCGCCACTAATGAGAGAAGTATATGAAATAAAATACCAAGCAAATCTATGTGACCTGGCCTAGCTGAAACCAGATTTTAAATTTGTCATTCTTATATAGGACCCAGAGTCAACAAACTATCAATGTCTAATTTTATTTTAAACATAAGATTTAATTGATATATTTTAAACTTGTGCAAATTTTTTAAATTTCAATAAATTTATTGTGGAATTAGTACAATTAAATTATATATTTATACCTTAAAATCACCCTTGTACATTATAAAATTTTATTTAAATATATAAAAGTTTGATTTTTATTTGCAACATGGTTTACAGATATAATTCTTTTACAATATGTTTTTTAATGATTGATAAAACTTGGTAAATTGACCTGGCATATTATGATAAAATACTTTAGTTTGTGATAAATGTAACATGTCAATGTTTGTTTGTTAAACACATACTAGCACAATACAATATTTGTAATAAAAAATATTTCAATCAATAAATGGAAAAAAAATAAAAATTTATTTGTGTACAAAATAGCAATTAAAATTAAAATTAATATAATATCTGTATAATATAAATAAACTGTAAGATACTGTTATTAAAAATATTAAAACTCAACTTTAACTAATAAAATTTAATGTAAATTACTTAATAATTGACTTTTAATATTATAAAAAGACGTTCATGCTTATAAATGGATAATTATTTATATTATAAATTAAAAGCAATTGACGTAATTTGAATTTATTGTTAACTGAATTTAAATTTATTAATATTTTGAGCCACCGTGCACTCAACTATAATTACTAATAAAACAATTAAATTATTAAATTTCTAAATCTTTCCTGTATAAGTCAAATACAGTATTGTTTTTGAGTCTAAAATTTAGACTTTGAAATAAATAATATTTTACAGAAATATTTGGTAAAGTTATATTATATTTATTCTTTTTAATATTATAATATTCTAGCCTGTTTTTAGATAAGTTTAAGTAATTATGAGAAAATGAGTGAAAAAGTATGTACTGTTTGTGGTGATCGTGCATTGGGTATGAAAAGTCAATATTTAAATATAATTTATTTTAAATTAAATATAATAATATAATGTTTGGAAATTACCCGTTTATGAGTACAATAAAAATTATATTTGTAATTTAGCGATTGTTAACTATAAATCATTATTGTGCCAGAAAATATACATATTGCAAATTTAATTATAGTAAAAATTTATATTAATATATTTGTAATTTAGTAAAAGTAGATAAATAAATTATTAGCAAATATTTCACCCCTGTTTGACTAACTTTGTTGATTAGGCCGAAACTTTGGTGCCCTCACATGCGAGTCCTGTCGTATATTCTTTAGACGGAATGCCCAAAGAGCTCCGGTATGTCATCAAAATCAATGATTTTTATTTCTATTCTAATACAGTATCCATAAATATGCAGGAGTTTGTGTGCTATTTGGGTAAACAATGTATCCTGGACCGTTTGTCACGAAAACATTGCAAAAAGTGTAGAATTGAGAAATGTTTTGCTGTCGGAATGATCCAGGTATGTATAATGATCAATTCTCTAAAAATATATTTATGATTACAGTTTAAAAATATTGACAATTATTACCATAAAGGGATTTCTTTCATATGAGAGACAACCGGAAGTTCAAAATGAAACCAATGAAAGACAAACTGACGAAAGCGATGTTATCCAAGTTTCGGTCATTAGTACTACAAATGAATCCACTGTTTCCGACAAAAGTGATGACAACCAGAATATAGTAAACCAAATGTCAAACTTGATAAAAGGTGTTATTTTTCAATTTAATGAATCGGAAAGTGATCATTTGAAACAATTATTTAAGTCAACCTCTTATGTGAGAGAAAATAATATCTTTAAAATAGTATGTAAAGCCAAATCTCTTTCCGATGCCTTCCGATTGATGCAAATAAGAGCTGATAGCAAATGCCGAGGAATTATAAAGATGTGTAAAAATATGTCTCAATTCAGTCATCTCTGCGAAGGCGATAAAATAACTCTCTTGAAGTCGGGCTGTCCTAAGATTATCAATCTTTTATCAGTCCTTAACTTTAATTTTGAGGGCAAGTTCTGGACCGTACCCTTTGTATGCAATGATTTCATATTGTCATGAATTCAATTTACATATTAGACTACTCTTAGGACAATGAAAATGCGGTACAACTTTCACTGGACTTGCTACTGGAAAGGGATTTGTTTCCGACGGAAATCCACTATAAATTCATGCAAAATATTCAACAGGAATGCAATTCCGATTTGATCATGCTTGATTTGGTATTTATGATTGCCTAAAATTAATTTTTAAAATATAGAGAATGAATGTAAGCTAAAATCAGGTATTTATCATGAACATAGTTGACGGCTATATTACTATTTAATCCAAACCATCCAAGTCTGGTCCATAGGGATGTAATTATGTGAGTCATAAATTTTTATACATAATTTATATTGCAGAATAAAAATATACCTGGAATACTATTATTTCTATGTCATTATTAATTCTGTGTCTATTTTACTGTATGGCTTGTTTACCGTAGATTGCAACAGAAAATGTACATTTATCTACTCAACCGGTATTTAGAGTTAAAATATAACTCTAAGACTGAATCCGAGACCCGATTCTTGCGATTAATGAATTGTCTGAATGAGTTACACATCATAAATAGGATTCGTATTAAAAATTATGCCAACTTTCCACAGAATACTAATAGCATGACACCTCTACTTCGGGAGTTGTTTGAAATAAATTATGAAAATAATCAATTCAATTATGAAAACATTGTATAGTATTTGTAACACTTTAATTATTATTAAATTAAGTAATATTTTATAATTTGAACTATCATTGAAATAAATATTAAATATTTATTAAACAACTTCTAATTTTTAATTTTTTCTATTTAGCTTTAATTAATAATTTGTAACACTTTAATTATTATTAAATTAAGTAATATTTTATCATTTGAACTATCATTGAAATAAATATTAAATATTTATTAAACAACTTCTAATTTTTAATTTTTTCTATTTAGCTTTAATTAATACTAGAATTACTTAGCATTGAAAATAATTCTTTTATTTATTTAAATTATATTTAACAAAAAACCAAATTTAAAAATAATAATGTAATAGAATTTGAAATTAAATTGTTTAAATTAATTTATAATTAATTAAAATAATTTTTCTAATTAGTAATCTCAGTTCTTATAAACCAAACTATAATTCCTTGAAACAAATTGATCTTACCTATGTTATCATGTCAGTAAATACTGTAGTCAATACACACTTTATAAGTAATTTAATAAAAAGTTTAACATAATAATAATGTTTAAATAATTATATAGTCCCTAAAGTCCTCTAAAAAACAATATAGAGTCCTTTAAATGTACTGTATTTCTAAATAACATTAGAAAACGATTTATAAATTGAACACTTGTTTGACAGGAGGAAACCATACTATTAAAGTATTTCCATTTAATTATTACTTTTCGTTATTTGCGAAACACTAGTATTGTTTGGATTAAATGCTAAGCCTTTACATACGTAAAAACATCACATTAGTTCATTAAAATCAATCTTTATATTGATAAATTTGTTTAAATCCAATTATTAAATATAGTTGAATAGTAAATTAAAAATTTTAATACTTAAATTTATAATAATAATAATAATTATAATAATATACGACTGTTAATGAACGGTATAAATGAGTGATAAAGAGTGTGTAGTTTGTGGTGATGGAGCATTAGGTATGAATTAAAATAAATAAATTAATCATATATTTTAAATGATACAAAAATACATGACATTAAGGCTATAACTTCGGTGCCCTTACGTGTGAGTCCTGTCGTACATTCTTCAGACGAAATGTTACCAGGGTTCAGGTATGTAACCACCAAAATCTATATTAATGCTGAATGTAATAAGTACATAATTAATAATATAGGAATTTGAATGCTTTTTCAATAAAAAATGTGACATCAATTATTTGACACGAAAATTCTGTAAAAAGTGTAGAATCGAGAAATGTTTTGCTATGGGAATGAAACGGGTAATTATCATAATATGATATGATTTTGTTTTATCAAGATCATAGAGTGATAGTATAATGTTTGAATTGACATTTAAAGGGTATGTTTCACTTTGGAAGAGACCGTAGAAACATAAGTAATCCCATAAAGCATTCAACTGATAAGGAATGCCCTCAGGTTTCGACCGTAAGTTCGGCCACAGATTTGATTGATATGAATGGGATTGAAGACGACTACAGTATAGTCAATGACATCCCATCCTTAATAAGAGGACTGATCTTTAACTTCAATGAGTTAGAGATGCATCGATTGAAGCATTTATTCAGTTCAACCGCTTATATGAGAGATCCAATCGTAACAAATGTCACCAAAACAGCCACATATAGCGATGCCTTCAAAGTATTGCGAATGCGATCAGACATGAAATGCCAAAAAATTATCAAAATGTGTAAAAATATCAATCAATTTAAAGAGTTGTGTGAAGACGACAAAATCATTTTACTAAAGACCTCGAGTCCAGAGATTGCTTGTTTGTATAAAGTGGTCAACTTTAATGTCCAGGGACAGTTCTGGACGGTTCCCATTGTATGTCATGTGTATATAAATTTTATATTATAAAGTATTTAATTTTTTATAATAACTTAATCATAAATATAAATAGGACTCGGATAACGGCCTTATAATACCATTAGATATACTAAAGTATGTGCAATTGAATTTCTATAATGTACAAAAAGAGTTTTTAATAACCATGTCTGGGGAATGCGAATCCGATTTCAATCTAATTGATCTGGTACTATATTTACTACTCATATGAATTTATAATTACACTTTGTTTGACATTATAGTTAATAGCAATCATACTCTTCAATCCCAATCGACCCGACTTAAAACAATATGATATTATTAAGTGAGTATGGTGATTATGAATTGATAATTATAATTTAATTTTTACTTTTCATAATAGACTGCAACAGATGACTTACATGTATTTACTTCAACGCTATTTGGAGTTAAAATATAACTCTAAGAGTGAGTCCGAGACCCGATTCATGCGATTAATGAATTGTTTGAAAGAATTATATATAGCAGCCTATAATATGATGGATAATGTTACTGCGATAAAACTGATCACACCTGGATCTCTTGCCTCGGAAATATTTGATCTTTAATTATAAATTAATATAAAATAAGTAGGTTTAAAACAAAGCATTCATATGTCATGATCATTATTTATACATAATTTGTATATACAGTATAAACAAATTTCTTAATATCAACTCACTAATATAGTAATATAATTCTGACAGTAATATTGTTGTTTTTGTATAATGTATTGTAAATATTGTAAAAATAATGCTATTTATAGAATAAACACAATTCTTAGAGTAAATCCGAGACCCGATTCTTGCGATTAAATGAATTGTTTGAATGAGTTGTGTTTAGCATTAATAATATGATTAATACTGATTTTAGGAATTTATCATTAAAATTTTGATGTATATATTTACCATGCAATGTGTAAGAATTGTTTAGTGAATTTAGTAAATAATAAAATCAATTTAAACTAAATTTATTAAGCATTTAAAATAACGTGTGGAAAATTTGTGACATAATGGAAATGCAATAAAACTGAATAACTTATACAATATATTATCATATACATTATTCTGTGACTACAATCACAGTATTTACTAGTTTTATAAACCATTTTCATTCTGAAGTATACATGACAGGCAAGTGTACGATAGACTCTATACTTTATAATATAACCTTCACAATATGATTAAGTATCTGTTAGCAAATGTTTATACAAACCAAAAATATAATGGTAATTCACATAAATTATTAAAACTTTAAATACCTTATTAATACAGGTTTTTAACATATTTACATTGCTTACAAAGAAAATTACAGTATATTGTAATATAAGGTACCATAGATTTTGTAATAGAATATTTTTATTTGCAACAAAATTATACTTGTATTAAATAAGAGTTAATAAAATACTATTGTAGAGTAACTAAGAATGAAGAAAAATATTTGTGGTGTATGTGGTGACCAGGCATTAGGTAGGATTTGTAATTAAATGTAAAATAATTTTTAAAAGGACAAAATTATTAAATACTGTAACCATAGGCCCTAACTTCGGTGCCCTGGCCTGTGAATCGTGTCGTATATTCTTTAGGAGAAATGCCACCAGAGCTCAGGTATAATAATGAATAACATTATATAATATGATAAAAGGAATTATATAAACTTTGCTTACTAATTAGAAATATACATGCTCATTTAATAATCAATGTGCAATAAATCAATTGACACGAAAATTCTGTACAAAGTGCAGAATTGCCAAATGTTTTACTATAGGGATGAAAATAGTAAGTGATTACGGGTTACACAATGAATAATAAATAATAATCCATAAAATACATTATTTTAAGGAATCAAAAAGAAGTTATAAACGGAAAAGTATGAAATATATGCTAATGTATGCAAATGCTAATAATATTAATAATACAAATCAACCGATGATTTTAAATACGGTTGACAACAGTTGCGAGTCTATTGCGAATCCGATGGCATCCCTCATAAGAGGTCTTATATTCAACTTCAATGAGTTAGAGATGACTCGCTTTAAACGGTTATTCACGTCAACCGCTTATATGAAGGAACCAAAGGTAATGAGGAGGACTACATCCCAAGTGACCAAATGCTCGGATGGCGTGAATGTCTTGCAAACGAGAACTGAAACCAAATGTCGAAACATTATCAAAATGTCCACAAATATGAGTGAATTCAATGATCTCTGCGAAGACGATAAGATAACACTCCTGAAGAAGGGCTGCCATGAGATTATATGTCTGTTAACTGTTGTTAACTTTGATTTCAAATGCGATTCCTGGAGGGTTCCCATTGTCAGT